AGGCCTCACCAAAGGTATGTTATGACTTTCTTTGGATTAGTTTTTTGGAATTTTCCATCTCTGAAATGATTTGGATCGAAGTGTGGTTTGGTTTGGTTGAGATTTAACTGCAAATCCATTTTCTTATGAAATGTGAACTAAATTTCAATTCTTTTGGTTTTTTTTCTCAGCTTTGATTGTTGGCCCAGTTTCATCTTCTATAATTTTGATTGGCAATTCATGTGTCATCATTGGTCTTTGGCCAGCACATTTCATTTGGACCTACTACTGTTTAGCAAGGTTTTATATCCATCAAATTACAAAACCCTTTTTTATTCAGACTTGTATCTTCTCTGTATTTTCCACTAAATTCTCTTATTTTTGTAAATTTTAGAACCAAGAGAATAGGTGTTGTTTTGAAGACCTTGGCATTGATATTGTTTCCAGTGCCTTTGCTTCTGTGGCCAGTTACTGGAATATCAGGAAGTCTCTTTGGCGGAATCGCTTACGGGTTTTTCACGCCTCTTATGGCTACATTCGAGGCTGTAGGAGAGTCTGTTACTAGCAAATGTTACCATTGCTTTGTTGATGGTTCATTCTCCACTATTAAAGGAAGTTGTACTGTGGTGACTGACTTCACTGACTTCTGCTTCCATTCTTATTTCTCTTACATGGATGAGTTAAGAGAAATGGTTTCTGCGGATTTTAAACCTTTAGAGATTAGGTAAGAAATCGCTTTCTTCGTCTGAGACCAGTAAAGAAGAATAACACTTTACAGTGACGGTGTAATCTCGTTTTCTTTCAGGTTGTCTCGGTTACCGAGTTGTGTGCTTGCTAGTCTCATGGGTGTGGTGGTGGATGTTATTCTGATCACAGTTGTTACTCTTTACAAAAGTCCATATATGCTGCTCAAAGGATGGAAGAGACTACTAGAGGATCTTGTTGGTCGAGAAGGCCCGTTCTTGGAGACAGTCTGTGTTCCATTTGCTGGTCTTGCCATATTGCTATGGCCAATAGCTGTCGTGGGAGCCGTAGTAGCTTCAGTTTCCTCCAGTTTCTTTCTTGGAATGTACAGTGGAGTCATCGTCCATCAGGTTCGTAGCCAATACTAAAGTCTGTTTAGTGATTTTACATCTTTCAGAGTTGGTTATGGGGATGTCCTTTGGATTGAGGCTGAATCTATGGCAAAAGAATTAGAAAGCAAACTGATTAATTCTTGAGCTCCTCTTGTTGTGATTTTGCAGCTCTTTAGTGGCAGTTAATCTTTCTTGGACAATAGCTCTGGCGACTTTATGTTAGTTTAGTTTTGGCTTAGCTATAGATTTTGTAATTTAGTTATCTCACATGAAAATTGTCATCACTTGGACAAGTTGGACTATTAAAATGTCTATCTTGGATTTTCTCAGTGGGTTGCTAGACACTGATAATTTCTGGTTAGGTAGGATGTTCTCTATGCTTTAATCGTTGTGAATCTTTTCAGGAGGACTCTTTCAGAATGGGGCTTAACTATATAATTGCTGCTGTCTCACTGTTTGACGAATACGTAAATGATTTGCTCTATTTGAGAGAAGGAACTTGCCTGCCAAGGTATAGAGTGGTCGATCTGTTCCATTAGTGTTTTATCTTCAGGACATAGATCTTCGGCTTCTCGATTTAGCATTGGCTGATTACAAATTTATGACTGTTAAGTATATATGATTGGGACAGCCAGGCCTTGCTATAGGAAGAAAACAGACACTGGTCATGGGAAGAGAATATTAGGAGAGAGTAACAATGTTGATCTCAAGAGCAAAAGAAGCATGTCCCTGTCAAGGCTTGTTTCAGAACCGTCACGGACACTGAAAAAGGCAATCACACTGTACAAACCAGTTCAGGTATATTAGCCCTTTGTTTTGTCATTTATCTGACTTTACAATATAATCTCCAATGAGTAAGTGAACATCTTGTTTTTTTTGCTTTTATAGGTATGGGAATGGTTGTTTAAGTCTTGTGAGGTGAATGGTAGAATACTTCTTCGTGATGGATTGATAGATGTGAAAGATGTAGAGGAATGTCTTGTCAAGGGTAATTGTAAGAAGCTCTATATTCAACTACCCGCTTGGACCGTTTTACAATGTCTCCTTGCATCGGCTAAATCCAACTCGTCTGGGTTGGTCATCTGTACGTATAGTCAATGTGCTCTTCACAAATTCTCTTAAAAACTTTTGTCCTACCACGCGGACTTATGATTTTGTGATGAATTTATGGCAGCTGATGGCGTGGAGCTTACGGAACTAAACAGCCCAAGAGACAGAGTATTTGTGTGGCTTATTGGGCCTTTACTGATAATGAAGGAGCAGATAAAGAATCTCGAGCTGACTGAGGATGAAGAGTATTGTCTAAGGAAATTGGTAATGGTATGCAAAAACGAAAGGACCGAGGACTGGGATAGCACCGGGTTCCCTTCAAGTGATACAGTGAGAAAAGCACAATTGCAAGCCATAATCAGAAGGTACGTATCAAACATGATCTTTGCACCATTAGATCTATGCATAGGACCAACACACTCGCATACGCATCATGCAAATCAATAATAGAAACATTTAAGTAGCCACATTCCATGTAATGAATCGGTTGTCACGAGTTGATTCAGACCATACTTCATAGAAAGCGATGCTTTTAACGAAGTTAGGCGAAGTTAGGGATGAGCCGTTAGCTAGTGATTTCTTAGTTCTGTTGGAAATAATCACTGAGGGAAGTTTTGTTATATCCATGGAAGGCTGCAGGGAATGGTGGCATCAATGTCACGAGTACCTACATTTCGACGAAGATTCATGAACTTGGTCAAAGTGTTGTACATAGAAGCTCTTGAAATGGGCGCATCCGGTAACCGAGCTGGTGGGATCCTCAAACCCAAGAGAGACGAAACAGGAAAGCTCGATCGGGTCTAGGATCGGAGTGACACACCAGATGTGGATGTTGTATAACTAGTTACAGTATATCATCTTTTTTCGTTTTTCGATACACTTCAGTCTTTATAAGTTGGTATTTCCTCCGAATACATGTTAACATGGTATTTTACTATTCACTGTACATTATTTGTTGCTTTTCTCTAGCTTTTGTGGTTTAATTAGTTTAAGGGTTTGTTTGCTAAGTAATCAACACCTCCTATTTAGGGTCTGAATGGAGAAAACGTAGTAAGCGGTGCGGATCAGTCGGATCAAGCGGATCTAGCAAAACAAAAGCGGAATTAGCGGATCAAAAGCGGATAAAACGGATCTAGTAGTTCAAAAGGTATATGTGAATGGTAAAAGCGGATAAAAAGCACTCTAAAATACTATACAAAATTATTTATAATATAAATGAGATTTAATTTTTTTATATATTTTTGCATAATTAAAAATTGCTAAAATATTAATTTATAAATGCATTGAATATAAAAATATTTTGATTTGCCTTTAAAAGCTATTTCACATCAGAGAATTGTAATAGATATAACTATACAAGATTAAGGATCCGCATGTATTCGAGTTTGTAATTTAGTCTTTTATATACCAGTGAAAAACAAAATTACACTATCCGTTAAAGTAATAAACTAAAGGTAACAATGTTACTGCAAAACAACGGATTGATAAGCATAAAATTTATTTATTAATTTTGATATTTTTGTTATTTGATTTGCAATTAAATTTTATTACATATTTTCCGACCATTTTTTTCCTTTTCATATTTAAATTAGGTATGCAAAATGCCACTATTTAAA